CTTATTACAAGAATCGTATTGTAATGGACTGGGAATATTTTGACCCTAAAGAGGTGAGGAAAGTGGTACACAAGCTTTATTAGCTGCAAATAACGCCTGCTATTGAAAGAGCCTCTGTAATCCCGGGGATAGAGGCGTATCAAAGTCGCTACCAACCGGACTGAAAACCTTGATTGTTACTTCATTCATGTAACATGTGCCAGACAGTTTGGCAAACGCAAAATCATCACTCAATCTCGTGTACTTCACTCCTGCGTATGCTTCCTAAAACTTCCTTTACTTCTTTGCTACTTCTTTGTGTGATCTTGTAGTCTACTAAAAAGCTACAATATACTAAAGGACGACATAACAAGAGCCGTCTCCTAATAAAATTCCTTGATAGTAAGGACAAATTTAATACACTTAGCTAGAGTTTATTACATCTGGGTAAGGATTGCAATATTGCTGAGCGCAAGAACTGTCAAAGGCATACAGGAACTTAAGCCAAAAAGGAAAAACCTTCCGCAGTCAGGAAGACAATGAAGATTGTGGACTTGAGAACTTTTTTAGAATTTTAAAATAACGAACGACATTCTTTCCAAAGCTCGTGCTATCTCCTTACCACAGATAAAAAGATCTGGAGCAACGCATTATCGAATTGTTCCATCACTGGTGCCCATTTGGTGAAAATTGATTCCTCTGAAGAAAATTAATTTATCAATGAGACATTTCTTGTTGATGAAGTAGATCACTGGATTGGATTAACGGATGAAGAGACTGAACGAGTCAGGAAGTGGTCTGACGGAAGCATTCTGACGGAAGCATTCTGACGGAAGCATTCTGACAGGATTTACAAATTGGCAAAAATACCAGCAAAGTGATAACGGCAAACATAAGCAGAACTGTGGTGGAATACGAATGGGAACGTTTGGGGCGCAAAATCACGTGTTCGATGTGTTCGATGCAGAGTGGCACGACAAAGCTTGCGAGGAACTTAAAGGATACATCTGCGAAAAGCAGACCTAAAGGGTCATTTCAGTCAACTTTTTAACGCTTTTTCACCTATTTTTATTGTTCTCTATCTAGTTATTTGTTCATCAACTCTGTTTGCTTTGTATGACATTGACGCGAGAGCTTATATCAGTTTTCATTAAGACTACTTAACAATTGGTTCATGCTTTAGCGTGCACTATCGAGTTATGGAGCATGCGGGAAGTTTGGAGAGCACGAAAGAAGCGTAAGAGTTGCCCGAGGCGATAGCCGAGGGCAACTCTAGCTTCTTGAGTGCTCTCCAAACTTCCCACGTGCTCCATAACTCGATAGTGCACAGCTGAAAGCATGAACCAATTGTTTTAGAACATAGCCGGTGGAATTGTGCATCAAATCCGACGCGAAAAACGGACAACAATATCAGTTGAAGCGAATCGTGACGGCGCTGATGCCGAGTCTCCTTTTCCTTTGTTTTTCTCTTTTTCTGCCTCATTTAAGAACTCTAGCCCAAGGGAAAAGGTCGAAACATTGTCTTCGTTTTCGGACTAGTAGGCCGAGTTTCTGTTTGTATCCATTATTGTCGCGAAATATATTATTTTTCCCCGCGCTAACAATGGCCGCTCGCGCGAAAAAAAAA